TGCAGATTCATGTGTTAAATATATATAGTAAAATTCGATGTACACACCTTTTTTGTTGTTATCTGCTTGATGTATATACAGGCTGAAATTAACCTACAGAATTCGATGTCACTATGAACGCGCAGAAAACAGATCGCACTCTGTATCTCAGCCACGATGCTATTGTCTGTTCACGACCGTAGAAAGGGCAATAATCTCTTGCAGCTTAGCACTTAAGAAGGGACCCCTCTAGCTTTCTCTTGAATAGCCATTCTTTCATTCTTCTGTCCTTTAGATTCGAAAATCTGAAGGGTGTAACAAGATGTAAGTTTTCCCAGCAGAGAACCAAATGATTTTATTGCTTCCATCTGTTTCATGACACCAGGGTCTGCTAAAATTCGTCGAGTGTTACCAACAGACATGTACTTATAATGCAGAACAACTCTGTGAAGATCTGGAAATATATTTTTGCAGTACGTATCAAAATTAAAAGAAAGAATATAATTCTTTGTATAACAATTTTCAAATCTCCCGTTATAATATGCGACACTGTGTTCTTTGCTGATACAAAAAAAATTTAATTGCATCCATTTATCATAAAAATTGAGTTAGATACAGCATTTTTAAACACAATGCCCTAACGGGGACGGACATTTAAACGCAGAGTAACAACGGGTATTTAAATGCGCACCAGCTGCGGGCATTTAAATAAAGTCCGGCCAGCGCAAGCTTACTACCATGTCAAAAGTCCGGGGATCTCGGCTTCCAAGCAAGCGAGGACAATACATGCCTGGCACACCTTTTCTCTTGGCGCAAACGTTTTGCCTTCGACCGAAACTCTGAATTTCCTCGCGGCAAACATGTGCCAGCAGACTTCATTATACTAACGTAAATTTTAATGTCAACTAATACGCACTGTTCTATGGTCCCTGGCCGCAGAGAAATCTCCACTGCGTCTTATAGTCGCCCACCTGTCGATTTACGGCCATGAAATTTATTATTGCCTACAGATACGGATTCTACATTGATGGCACACCTTCTTGCCGATTGTGCTGTCGGCTCTTTTAAATTTAGGATGCGCAGAGATGGCAGCAGCATTGCACCGTGGTGTCATAGCGGCCATGTTGTCAACCAATATGGGTTTACGTATAGCGGCACGAGATTCATATGTGCGGTTCCACATCCCGCGCCACTGGTGAGTTGACAGGGTTAGCCTCTAGAGCTCTTGCCTCTGCCTAGAATCGAGCCCCGGGCGTTTAGCTCGCAGTGGAAATGACATTTCTTAAAACTGACAATGACCGTTATTTTTTGACACCCTATTATGCAGTGGCCGGGATAGCTCAGTCATTATATTGACGGGCTGCAGGCATGTCTAAGACATGATGTACTCTGAAAAATGTCTAAACAAACATCATTTGCTCTGCCTGCACACCTGCTCGATAGACATTCTGAACAAAGCAGTCTTGAAGAGACCATTCCTACATGATCTGGTCTGTATCTGGCGACGTACTGACACCCACCTACCAGGGCACCACATCCCGTAACACTGTACCTGTACATGAACACTTCAGCAGTAGGCTCCATTTTCTGAGTATAAATCCTGAATATGCAGACACCAGACTTATCTGAAACACCCGTATCCGCTTACCAGAATGCAAGCCAGTAGAATCCAGTGCCTTGAGAACTTCTGCATCAAGCAGGACCAGAATACTTTATTTATTTATTTATTTCTAATTTGCAAAATAAGGCAAGATAACCTCATATTCATAATTTTTAATAGCGCATGAGCGTGCATGATTAATGCATGCCAGTTGAGATGACATTTTGCAGACTACAGAGGGTAAATCCGGACAATATAAAATATGAAACAAACAAAATTACAGTAGTAAACAACTGAATTAGGCAGTATCAACACACTTTAAGGATAAATTAAGACATGAGCCCCAAAGCAGCTTTTGAACATATACGCATCTTCACACAGAATTTTGTATCCCTAGTAACAGCACTGTTGTTCCCACCTCACAAGTTTGCACAGTTCCCATGCTGGCACTGTCCATGACGAAGGTGTTAAAATATATCAAATTGAAGAGATTTTCTATGCCATGATGTTCACATAATAGTCTCATGAAAAGTGATCAATTAGTGACAGCTCATTAATGGGGTTGCCTATATGTTGGACAGCAGGATGACTGCAGAGTAACAGAGAGGAGTGGATCTTGAAGCAAGCAGCTACAGCACTTCCCTGGAGGGACTAAGGGAAACCATAAAAACCTCATCAGGATAGCTGGTGTTCTGGGCGAGATTCTATCTAAGCATTTCTGCATAAAAGTCTAAGAGTGTTACATCTTGACAAATGAGTTCAGGATGAGAACATCAAACCTCACAATTTGCTTATTGTTTTGTAGAACTGTAAAACAGAATCAACATTCTCATCCTGATGAAAGCTGAATTTCCTCTAAAATTTTGGAATCCAACTACCAGACTATACGGTGTGACAGCCCTGAAGATCACACTATAAATTTTCACTGCCATGAAAACCTCATCCCTTATGCACTTCAGTACTTCATGTATGGTTTTTTCATATGGGGTAGTGCAGGAATATGGATTAAAGTTGCTTTTTTATCATTCATGTACTCACTGTATGTTTTATTTCACCAACACTACACTTTGAGGCACTGCAAAACCTGTAAGCCTTCTGACCAAACTTTGATGAGTTAAGTCACAAACAGATGCATCAGTTTGACTTTTATCCTGAAGTTAAACTTCTGTGCTTTGAATCAATGTAATCAGATAAATTCGGCCACCCTCGGCCTATAAAGCTTCCAGTTTCTCCTGTATTCTTACTTACTTACTCATGGAGCTGAGCCCTTCTGGAGGAGCCGCCAATTCTGCAGCTACTCAAGAAGTTCCCAGCATTTTATGGAACCCAAAGGTTCATTACCGTGTTCACAAGAGTCCTTCACTGCTCCCTATCCTGTGCCAGATCAGTTCAATCCATACCATCCCATCCGTCCTCTCTAAGATCCATTTTAATATTGTCCACCCACCTGCGCCTTGGTCTTCACAGTGGTCGCTTTCCTTCTGGCTTTCCCACCAATATCCTATACACATTCCTTGTCTCCCCCATTTGTGCTACATGCCATGCCCACCTCATCCTCCTTGACTTGATCATTCTAATTATACTTGGAGAAGAGTACAAGTTACGAAGCTCCTCATTATGCAGTTTTCTCCAACCTCCTGTCACTTCATCTCTCTTCGGTCCAAATATTCTCCTCAACACCCTGTTCTCAAACACCCTCAGTCTGTGTTCCTCCCTTAATGTCAGAGACCAAGTTTCACACCCATAAAGAACCACAGGCAAAATTATAGTTATTTATATTCTAATCTTTATGTTTTTGGACAGCAGATGAGAAGAAAAAAGGTTCTGGACTGAATGGTAAACAAGCACGGCCCGAGTTCAATCTCCTCTTAATTTTTCTCCTGTATTCATAAATAATAAAAACACACCTCAATTAACTTCCTGCCCTGCAATGCATAGATTTAATGACTGAAAATGGAAGACAGACCAAAAGCAACCAATATGCAGGATCTGTACCCACACCCACCACTTGTATAAGAAAATAGCACCTACTTTTTATGGGGTGTGATGCTGTATTGCAGGAACATGCTGCATCCATATTTAGGGCAGAACTGTAAGCTAAGGGTGGCAGTAAGTTGTATGGATAAAGGGACAAAAGCAGCTATGAGGAGCCCTGGACAGAACCAACTGAAATCAGAACTGTGAATCACTAAGAAGCCCTTCTAAGAGCCACCAGTGTCTCCCTCCATCTCTCTTGAGCTCCTCACATGAGCCACTGGTCATCCAGAACCATTATTTTTCCCAACTATATACTCTGGGAAAATGGACCTTACAAGGGCCTCACTTACATCGACTGGTTTCCTCAGGACTCCATTTCTCCCTACATTTGTACCAGTTTTTCCATGCTCAACTTAATCTTCTACCATGAAGATGGAGGCAGGATGTATCTCCAAAACGTCAGTAAACATCTACCAGACTACACTGTGTCACATCCCATATGAGGATTACCTTCATAGTCGTCAGTATGGTGAGAATTCGTATCTCGCGCAATAGCATCTGTAAATGTGCTGTTCACAGTGTGCTACTTGTGCGACCGGGGTGTTTCAATTCACCCCAAAATATTCAGCTTCTTCAGCAAGTTCTTTCATGCAGGATACAAGTAGTTCCTTCTGCATGCTTACATCCAAAGCATAACAACACAGTAACCAGTGCTAACAAGTGAGCATTGTTGTAACTCTTCAACAGGCTTTCAAGATACCATGATCTCATCTGTACACTGAAAGGTTACTGTCTTGTAGGATGCAGCGCTGTGGAGTCTGGTACATATTTACCAGAATTTCAAAAAAATCTCCTGCCTCCATTTCTCTAAAGATGATGAAAGCAGACATCTCTTTAAAGGACATCCATATGTTGAAGACGCTGCATTTCATTGCAAGATCAACAATAAACCTGCATAATTTAGGACTTATGCCAATATTCCGATGTATCACTTTCGGACTCTCCCTGAACTGCCCGTATCAAACGCATACGTAGCTGTAGTTTCTGTGATTCTGGTGTCTTCCTGAGGAATGGGAGTAGGCTCATGAGGAAGTGGTAATCGCCATCCACTTTTGTGTGGTCACACAGATCATTGGAAAGTATCTGCTTCTTGGTTTTCCTTAATTCATTTTCTACTGGAAACTCGCAAGGCCTTTTCCGTGTCATTGTTGAGATTTCAGGAGCCGTATCGTGCACTTCAGTGTCATGTGTCTCCAAAATGCTCTTGTCACATACAGAGTCTTGAGATACAACTTCTGAAGGCACACAAATTTCACTGACCAATGAAAATTGATCAGTTTCACTATTGGAATAGTCTTCTTTCAATTCTGTGTCATCTAAATCTTCACTTTTCACAAAAAAAAATACTTGAAAATGGTTCATCTTCATCTGCATTCTCTGAAACCTGCATAACATCCTTCAGGAACAGCATGTGTGGAAAATATATCCATCTTGACTTGTAGGAGATGGTCTGCCCATGAGGACCTCCAGGTATGCCACAAAGATGCTTCTTCAGCTCCCTCCTAAATACGTCCCTCAATATGGCCCATTTCTGCTTCACAACATGGCCTGCAACATCACACATTCAACATAATGATCTTCTGTCTAATGCAGCAAAAATTGTTAAGTTTTACTTTGAACACAAAAAGGTAAAAAAGATATAGCTCTCACTGTGCTTAAGTAATTAAGCACATCATGAAGTCATGTTGGGTAGTGGAGGTATAGCTCCACCATTCTTGGCTTTGCAACTAGATGCAGATAAATGGACAGCTTCATGCCCCATCCCACTTTACTCCTAGGGAAAGAGCCCCTGGTACTCACTGAACTGAAGGAAAAAAAGTTCTACATTTAGATTGTGATTTTTATTGTGTGTCATCAGGTCAGCTGTTACATCATTTTGGAGAAACATTCTCTCCTGAAGATGGAAGCAGCAGGTTCCTCCACAATGTCTGTACCCACATACTGGACCACACAGCACCACTTCACAACTACACTCCACATCACTAGAAATGCCTGGGTATGATAAACACATGTTGAATGAAAATTATTAAAATGTAGGTTTAGAAATTCACTCCTACGTGTATCGTCATTGGGAACAGTGGCTGTGACGGCTTAAGGCACTGAAATAGCTTTGTTAAAATAATGGGAACTTGAGCATTATCTGGTAACTCAAGTTATTTTAAAATTTACCACCATGTTGTCCACCACGTTGAAACTGAGAAGTTTATTTGTAGAAACAGGGTCAGGCTTTTGGTTTTAAACATCAGGTCTGTAGTTCCATTATGAAAAAGTCAGGATTTCGGTTTCATTTTTAAGAAATAAATACCAAAAACTTCTTAAAGATAGGTTCTTGTTTTTGTTTTTAAATAAACTTTATTATTTTCTATTATTATTATTATTTAACTGCAAATGGTGGCAGTGGTACTACAATAAGAGAACTCACAAATAACACACACAAACAAACTTCTACAGTTATCAGTGCTGATGTAGCATACAGCATGGCAGCAACATTTTGAAGTTACTTGGCTCACCTGTTAATATACAAGTACCAAAATGAAGCTCACTGGAACTAAGGAGATAGCATCTACCCAAGACTACCAGCATTTTATGCCCTGGTCACAACTCAGAAAACACAATCTATGCCTTCGCTCTGTGAGCACCTCAAATGTCACATGTTTTGTATATAATCATGCATCCAGACATTTAGGAGATGCATACAAATGCATCAGATATTTGAAAACACTGCATCAGTCACATCCACTACAGAAAACTGAGATCAGACCAATACTCAAATAAAAGCAGCAAGTTTATGTTCCATCCACAAAGCTGAAGTGTATGTAAATGGTATGAAATACATAAATGGAAAGATAAACTACAGTTCCAAGTATACATATAGATATTTTCCACATTAGTTCTTTCTAGATTCATTCATTCATTCATTTATTTTAAAATTCCATGAATCCTCTCTGGTCACAATGTGCCTAGGATGTAGAACATGTCAGATTACTATATGTACTGCAATAACTAATGCGGGTAAATGGTTATCATTGTCACAATCATGCTGTAAAAACAAAATCGTAATATATATATCATAATATATATGTGTGAAATTACAGGACTGGTATTTATTTATTTCAGACACAAACACTGTAGCAAAGCCAATCACAATACAGTCATCACACTACAGACTGTAATTATTTGCCTTGTATTTCATTAAATATTCAGGAAATTTATAAAACTTTCAAACAAAAACTGTAAAGCTAAATCACCGCCATATTTTATATTTGGGCCACTTCCATGAAAATTGGCAATATTTTATCTCATCTGTAAAATATGTTATATTGGCCTGATATTAAACAAAATTAAATCTGCTAAATAACTTCACATGTAGACCACCAATGCCAAATTTAATCCAAATAAATTTAGTTAACTGCAGAAATAAAACTCTCCCTTATGGATGCATTCATTCTATGAAAAAGCAGCACACACAACCAAAAACATGGATATCGATAATTTTAAGTGAAAATACTTTTAGAATTTATGTAGATATATTTAGTATGCTAATAACATTTCCAATTTTACTTGCTAATAAACGTCTGAGTAAAGCATGAACAAGTCCTCCGGGAGGGACTTTAAGCCATGGGTCTCGTGTCGTAGCTTTACGGCACGTAAAAGAACCTCATGTCTCAAGGGGACCTCTGGGCCAAATTCAGGACATTTCCCGCCCAACAGTAGTCTCTAACGCCTCTGGTTGATGGGGGAAGCATCGAGATACTGCTGAGCCAGTAGAGGCCGTACTCGCTGGCTTAGTTGGGACTGATGGCACACACCAGTACCGGTAGGGTATAGAGACTGGTAGAATATCACAGGGGGACGCACAATGGACCAATATCTGGTCTAAGTGCATGGGGAAACCCACCCTCTCCAACAACAACAACAACAACAACAAGGCATGTTCACAGTAACAGAAATATATCTTTTGACACTAAAGACTAGATGGATGTTGGTCTTCTTTTGGCTGTGTAACATCTCGGCTACTAAAACCGACTTTATGTAAACCATAAATAAATAATCGAAACTTTAATATACGAACAACTCACGACCAGCAGGGCAGAAGACCACTTAATACTAAAATTGACAAAACTCCGCCCATATGGTTCAGTCCTGTGAGAGCCCTCAGACCCATTAGTCCAAAAACAACGTTCTTTGACCGAGAGTAAGTACTACGGGTCCATTTATTACGATGTGTCTAAATAGTTCCACTATTAAAACAGTGATGTAAAGTAAAAAGAAAAAAAAAATGCTCGGCTCTCTGAACAATTCATTTTACGTAACATACCACCGTCCACCCTTTAACACCAGAAAGGTTCGTTTGGAACCGTAACTCTTGATAATTTTTCTGAGGTTGGATTTTTCGTGGCTTTCCTTAAGCCAGATGAATATCGAAATCGAATCTTTATGTCGGCCACGGCCACTTCCTTTCCAAGTTCCTGTCTATTCGTCAGTGATGATCGCCTACCCATTTTATTCGATATAGTTCAGACAGTATTCTTAATTAACCTAAAAATCGACCACAAATCCGCACTTATAATGCGTAATACTTACTATTCTTGCCCATAAGGGCGGCAACTTCGGACCACAGTCTTCTCTTCGCTTCTCGGTTGTAATACATTTTGTCTCTATGGTCCCATAAAGATCTGCGTTCGAAAACACAGTACACAAGCTTATCGCAATCCATTATTAACACCTGGTCTGTGAGGGTCTGTAGCCTGCCTGTGTGACGGTCGCCCGATTGAACCCGTCCCGACACGACACGACACAAACCAACCCGAAGAGACCCGATTTCGTAACTGCATGACGTCACTCAACGTTTGTAACGTACTGCCCTCTTTTTGAGTTTTTGGGAGTCTAGGTTTTGTCATTTTTCACAGACAATGGGCGTTTGTTTGGCTTGGTGTAACAAGCAAAACCGTCTGAAAGTTCTAGGGGTGGAATGGACAGTTTCTACTGGCAGAACTGTTGATCGTTTACATTAATATAACTTCTAAATTTCCAGTACAGCCTTCAAACAATTTGTCCCTACCTGTTTATGCACAAGTATCAGTCATTTCTGATTTTCAGTACTCAAAATGCCATATTAAAATTACCTCATTACAATAAAGTCCAACATTTCTTTATCACTTTTTTGCTTCGGAATCGAAACTGTTTTTTAACGGACCGTTTGGGGTATGAAGGGGAAATTCGAAATCGAAACTTGTTTTTTTAAGAAGTTTCGGGTATGAAGGGAAATTCGGAATCGAAACTTGTTTTTTAAGAACTAATTGCATTTGTTGAAGTGGGGAGTATATCTGTTCGCGGAGATGTTTATATTTACGTATGATGTATAACACAACATGCGTAACCTCTTCAAGACCCTGTCCTCAACCATGAACCCGTCTATTTCGATAAGTAATCACAAGACTTCACACAATTCACAGTACCGTAACGCGAGATAGGTCAAGAAGCACAAGTTCCAGAGACTGTAGCGTTATCCTGATTCCTAGTCTAATGTGAGGACCTGTCGAGATGTGACGCCGTGTGTTCCATTTATTTTCAGCTTATTTAACGAAACTCTCGACAACTCCAACATCCACTAGATTCGTCTAGCGGTAGCGCTCTAAATATATACTCAGAAGGTGCCAGGTTCGAATCCCAGTCGGGCCACCTGCTGTCCTGACTGAGGAACACAGAACATTACTGAGACTGTATACATAACGTCGAATGGTTTGGAAGACTTACTAACTCCATGGGGCTGAATCCTTCTGTAGAAGAGTACAAGTTATGAAGCCCCTCATTATGTAGTTTTCTCCAATCTCCTGTCATTTCATCTCTCTTCGGTCCAAATATTCTCCTCAACACCCCGTTCTCAAACACCCTCAGTCTGTGTTCCTCCCTTAATGTCAGAGACCAAGTTCACACGCATAGAAAACAAAAGGCAAAATTATAGTTTTGTATATTCTAATTTTTACGTTATTAGACAGCAGACGAGAAGACAGGTTTTGGACTGAACGGTAGCAAGCATTGACCGAATTCAATGGGCTCTTAATTTCCCCATGAATCAGGCTTTGATTTCTTACTGTCGTTCCCAAATATCTGAACTGTGCCACATTTTCAAAATATCTGTTTCCTATGTCATGATTTTGCGCTGCATTTTGGTGACGAGACAGCTACATGTATTTTAATGTTTGGATGATATGAATAAGTAACTGGAAAGGACATGAAAGGAATTGGCCGTGGCTTAATTTACAGTTATGCCTACAGGAAGAAGGCTGTAGGGGTCTGAGCTTCATCTCCATCAGATGCAGTCATTGCGCGGTTCTTCTGCGCAGTCTCTATTCAGAAAGTCAGAGATGAAACTACCGGGGAACCCCCGCCTGCTGTCCATGCCGCAATCTGACCATTAAGTAACTTGTAAAGCAGCATTTCGCGTTATTCTATTCGACATTTCTCGTGTTCACTTTGAAATACAGCAATGACGCGTGAATGTCAAAGGATAAGAGGTGGCTGGACGTCAGTGTGATAGTATTACACGTGCGTAAGAAAGATCAAGTTCCCACCACACATGTTGGATAACATGTAGCATGTTGTCAAGGGGCCCGCCCCGCTGATACGGTCTGTCCGACCTCAGGACGGGGACCAGCGTCGGTCTTAGGTTCCGCGGAGAGTGGCTACGGGCTGGACAGCCGAGGGGTCTCAGTTCCGCTCCTCTCAGAGTCGTTCAGGCTCTGGGGCCGAAGTCGATATCGGGAACTCTTTCCCCGGGGGTAAAGCAGCCAAGGCGGGAAGCTGACAACTCACCTCCAACTAGTCAAGAATACATGGATCTATACATGCACATAGGTTTCCATGGCGTAGTGCGTAGTTAATTAGGCACAGGGACAACGTTACCCATAAAGCGTACATTCCATTTGTATAGAATTCTAGTCCTAAAGAGCTGTTACCGAACTGTTTTGTTAGTTTATATCTGTGAAGAACTCAAATACACAAACCGTCTTCATGTATCTCCACACAAAATATCACATTCCTCACTGCTGTAATTCAGTTGTTAACGTCTTCAAGCCCAAGTTCCGTGCTATCGTCACGTGCTGTTTCACATCCAACAACACAATTACCTAAACACAACAAAAAATTTAAATTGTAGAAAATCTGTTACCATTCATTATTTGAGGGCCCTGAATTAAGTTGAGCTAATGTTCTTCCCACCTCAGAAGTTCGCGCTTCCGTCGAGTTGTTATTACTGCAACCTCCGTGCCCTGTAGTCCGCAAGCGAACTATACCGACCTAGTGACCGCCGCTTGTCTGCGAATTTAGTGCTAACTTTTGCGGATAGAGGGTGTCACGTGGTCAGCGCAACGGATCCCTACAGCGCCCAGACCGGCTTTGAGGCTCACAGAGACCCCTATCCAATGGGTACAGAGGGCCTCCTTCCCCGGGGTTAAAGAGGCCGGGCCATGAAACTGACCACTCACCTCCATCGCGTGCCGAGATGAAGAATGATGGAGCTATACCTCCACTCCCCATACGTCTTCACGGTACACATTTCTTTGTTCTCACTGCTAAAAATGGTTTACATGCGGAAATGTGTGAGTCCCCTGTAGGGCTGCAACACAGGGAGCGGTGTCGCAGTTTCATCTCGCCGATCTGAACACATTCAGCCGGCCGGTCTTATCTTCTTGCGTTGTGTTTGTCTCGCGAGCGGTGTGCTCCTCCGCGTGGGGAGGTTCCGAAAGTTCTAGCTCATCCACCGTCCAAGGAAACCTAGCACTGCTCTATACCAATTGGATGGACCCCGGAGCTGGTTCAACCCTTTAAATGCAGTATTTCTTCTAATACACGTAATACATGTAAATTCAGTTCGTACCTCACAGGGAACACACTCCGTCTCCATAACAACGCCCAACCGGTTAATGCTGTTTATGGAAATAATCGCTGTGTGAGCAGAATGCAGAGTTATAGTATCTTGAAGTCCGTACCTCACAGGAAACAAACTCCGTCTCCATAGCAACGCCCAACCGGTCAATGTTGTTTAGGGAAACAGTCGCTGTTTACTGTGAGAACCATACGGAACACATAAATACACTGTGCGGGCAGAATGCAGAGTTTTAGTATCTTGAAGTCCGTACCCCACAGGGAACACACTCCGTCTCCATAACATCGCCCAACCGGTTAATGCTGTTTAGGGAAACAGTCGCTGTTTACTGTGAGAACCATACGGAACACATAAATACACTGTGCGGGCAGAATGCAGAGTTTTAGTATCTTGAAGTCCGTACCTCACAGGGAACACACTCCGTCTCCATAGCAACGCCCAACCGGTTAATGCTGTTTAGGGAAATAATCACTGTGTGAGCAGAATATAAACATTTTGTGTTTGGGGCCTTCTTCAGTGTCCCCAATTTTAGGAGCTAGAATGTTCATCTGGAACCGATCTATCAAATAGGGAACATGAATAAAATGAAACCAGCCGCTCAATAGCTAGGGAGGTTCATATACAGAGAGAACGAATTAAAAAGAATGTTATTTGGGGGGGGGTTCAGAGGCGCTGAATTCTGCAATTCCGTCACAACGTTGAGGTTCTTACCACGATGAGAACTCCTCATTCCACGCATGGGGCGAAACCAAGGCCGTCTTAACACGGGCCGTTCCTTGTGTACTCAGTTTGTAATCTGTAACAAACAAGGGAAAAACTAAATATCGAACTTTTCTTGTTACGCTCTATCAGCAACACGCTTATCTGCTGCTCCACGTGAAGCATTTGTAACACTCGTCTCTGCCACCAGAATTCAGCATAAGAAGTGATGACGAAATGAGAACTCATGCGTAAGTCGCGCATACAGAATTATATATATATATNCTTACATGAAACAGTTTTTATATAATTTCTGTTTAAGAGCTAATTACACATACATAATGTGTCTTTCAACTTAGTTTAAAACGGTATTGCCACTACATATTTCGATCGTAATATGGTCATCATCGCGTTATGAAGTTGATGTATGGAGACTTCTGTGCTTCCTTTCATCTTCTAATATGGGGCACTATGCTACAACCCGGAAGGCCGCGGGTTCAATTCGATTTTTCAATTGACCTAATCCTTCCAGCCGCACTATGGCCCTGGGGTTGACTCAGCCAGTAATAGAAATGAGTACCAGGAATCTCCCTGGCGGGTAAACCGCGGCCGGTGCGTGAAGCTGACAACTTTACCGCCATCTGTGAGCTGATTGTCTAGAAAATGTGGGAGTCTCGACCTCTCAGACCCCTATGGGCCCCCACGGCTTGTTACAGGGGTAGTTGTTTACGTATATTAGAAGACCAAAGCAAACATGGCCGTCTCCTTACAAGTTTTATAACACGCGATGATGGAACATGTAACGACAATGCAGCTTTAAAACAATTTTGAAAGACACATTGTGTGTGTGTGTGTGTGTGTGTAATTAGCTTTTAAACAGGAAAGTGCTGCATGTAACACAACAGTATCTGTTAATCAGTTAATGATATGCAGCAGCATGCTACAGTACAACAGTGACACATGGAGGCTTCCTTAACATTTGCCGGCACATCCCAATTTTAGTCAAAATCAGACAACAATACCGGACACTTCACATAAAGATCCACGTGGGTTTATGTGTGCATCTCGAACGTAACTCGCTGAATTCTCATCGGAGCGAAAACTGTTTTGGACGCAAGTTTCATCTGAAAAATGAAACATCAATTTTATGCCCAATCCATCTTTTTCCCATGTGGCGTGCGGAATTGGAGATAATTAAACAAATTTTTTTTTTCTATGCTCTGTCGTGATTCGAGAGCATTTGATATGATTTTGCCATCGTCACGTGACCCGTCTATCAAAATCGAAAGAAAAAAAACAACAGAAAACACCAAATGTTAAAATTAAATTCCCTCTATAAATATATATCATTCACTTATTATGCACAGGGAGCCGGGATAGCTCAGTCGGTATAGCGACTAGCTACCGGCTGTATGACCGAGGAGTCGGCGCTCGAGTCCCGGTAGGGTCAAGAATTTTCTTTTCTCCATGTCGTCAAGACCGGCTCTGGGGTGCACCTAACCTCCTATCCAACAGGTACCGGGGATACAGCTGACCACTCATCTCTAACTAGCGCCGAGGTCAAGAAAATATGGATATATACATCAACTCCCCCATACGCTTTCATGGCGTGGTACTTAATTAGGTAAGCACAGGGACAGCTTTACCTTTACCTTACGTAAGGTGTTCAGGAGTCGACCAAGTTATCTCTGGGATGATGACTTCTTGCGCTTGGGGCATCTGTCTCGCTTCACTTTTAAGGATTTCAACCGTTACAGGTCTTTTTTATTTTAATTACGCCATAGTTTAATATCTCTGATAGTGAGTTCTCGGAAACATTTAAATTAACACTGATAAACTTATTAATAATGTAAGTTATATTACTTATGTAATTATCTGACACGGCTAACTCACGTCAGCCGTCTCGTGACCCGCGAGATATCTCTCGCAGCTGATTACAGTTGCGGCTTGACATGAGGCAGTCATTGTTGTCACCTATCGACAGAGCGGCGGCTGCAAACGTAGAACTGACGATAAGTAGATCAGGAAATCCGTCAAACAGAAATATCTCAAATTAAGGAAACTGTAACTCATATACGTGTATATAGGAGCTGGAACAGGGGCGGGCTACGGGCTGAATGGCCGGGGTTCCATTCCCGGTAGGGGTATGATTCTTCTCTTCCCCACAGCGTCCAGACCGGCTCCGGGGTCCACCCAGCCTCCTATAGGCTCTTTCAGTGGCAGTAAAGCGGCCGGGGCGTGAAGCTGACCGCTCACCTACATCTAGTGTTAAGGTGAACAATGGCGGAGCTATACCTCCACTTCCCATACGTCTTCATGGCACGGAGATGAGTTTACCTTTCTTTTTAGCCTATACCGCTTTGAAAAAAAGTACCAGGACGCACATATGCACACAAAGCCACTCTCTGGTACTTCAGCTTGAAGCATGGAAAGTATTCCAGGACCTGAGCAATGTTCACTAGCCTGAGTGCTCATGAACGAATTTCTTGGTTCACGTTTGACACTAAGTTTTGCGAAGTATTATATACAAGGACCCCGGATTTTAATTTTGTGATTGGGTAGTATAATTCAGAGAAATAATTTGGGGCCTATAAGAGAAGGGGTTTCTAGCATGAATTCCCCATAAATACAGTACATAGTATTTAAAAATCCCGTCCGTACCTCACAGGAAACACACTCCGTCTCCATAACAACGCCCAACCGGTTAATGCTGTTAGGGAAATAATCGCTGTTTACTGTGAGAACCATACGGAACACATAAATACACTTTGTGGGCAGAATGCAGAGTTTTATAATGCCAAAGCAACTGGGATTTAAGGAGTTAAAATGAAACCAGTCGTTGTCTTGACCCGAGAATGCACCGACTGACTTGAAATCACCTGCAACTAACGGAAAGTGTGCGCTGTGGAGACGGACAATGCTTTCAGTGCGGCTGCGGACTTCACATTGTGCCAACTCTGCTTAATAAGTTACTGGGATTCGGACAGTATCGATATTATAGGCCTATAGTATACCTGGAGAGACTAAAGAAAACCACGAAAGACTCCAGTTAGGATCCGTCATCCCAGGCGAGACTGCAACCAGGCCTCAGGATCATGTTCTCAGGTCAATATAGGAAGGAACACTGTCGCCACAACGGAAACCACTGAACCTGACCGTAGACATATACGTATATATGTACAATGATGATGGTTATGGCCCTTAAAGGGCCGTTTCTTAAGGGCATAACTGATGGGAATTGGTTTGCTTAGGGCCCCGTCCTTATTCTCATCTTACCAATATCCGTACCATTTTATACAAACCAGGCTTAATCTTCTATCCTGAAGATGGAGGCAGCAGCTTTCTTCGAAACGTTGCTTCCTACCTACCAGGCTGTACGGCAGCATATCTTCATTGTAATGGCCGTGAGAACCTGAAATCACACATATGAACCTCTGTTGGGTGACTAATTTACGTGCTTATCTCTCCTGAACATGGCGGCAGCAAATTCCTTCGAAACTTTCTCCCACTAGGCACCACTGTGAGAACCGCAGATCTCTTATCGAGATTCCCGGATTGCTGACCTTTGTGTTACGTCGGTCTGCAATCTTGTGAACGTCAGAATCCGCCAGTTCAGTTACTTCGATTTTTAAGAAAGTCCCTATGAACTGCAAAAGAAAAGAAGCGTGGCGGAAGATTCACTTTGACCCTCCGCTTTCTCTGGAACCGCCCCTCTGGGAACAAAGTCCCGTTAGCCGTGAGGTTATAATACCAACGTGGCGAGCCTCATTCCAACAGCCTCTCACAATGCTGTCCCTGGTGCTTGCGACAATCCTGCTGCTTCTGTCCGCTGCATTCTTCCTGCAGAAGTTCAGGAGACCGAAGAACTTCCCGCCAGGTAAGTTAACCCTTCTTTGCCGTACACCACTGCACTGTGAAATTTGTATCATTTCGTACCTCACAGGAAACTCTCTGGGTCCCCGTTTCAAGGACGAGCCGGTTAAGAACAAGACTTGTATTAGGGGGGAGGTCGGTTGAAGTATCGGCTGCAACACCACCTACCCTGCCTGAGGTTTTTCTCAGCCCCTCCAGTCAAATGCTGGGACATTACCTGAATTACGCCAAGGCTGCTTCCTTTCAAATCCTTTACAATTCATTCTTCATCATACCATCCGACGCTACATAGTCTCCATACTGAAATTATCGTTAAACATCCTACAAAGAGGAGACTGAACTCGGGTAATGCTTCCTACCGTTCAGTCCAGAGGCTTTCGTCTTCCCATCTGCTCTCTAAAAACAGAAAAATTAGAATGCACAAAACCATAATTTTGCCCGTGGTTCTGTATGGGTGTGAAACTGGGTCTGTGACATTAAGGGAGGAACATAGACTGAGGGTGTTTGAGAACAGGGTGCTGAGGAGAATATTTGGACCGAAGAGAGATGAAGTTACAGGAGGTTGGAGAAAACTGCATAATGAGGAGCTTCATAACTTGTACTCTTCTCCAAGTATAATTAGAATGATCAAGTCAAGGAGGGTGAGGTGGGCAGGGCATGTAGCACGAATGATGGCGAAGAGGAATGCATATAGGATATTGGTGGGAAATCCAGAAGGAAAGCGACCACTGGGAAGACCAAGACGTAGGTGGGTGGGCAATATTAAAATGGATCTTAGAGAGATAAGATGGGATGGTATGGATTGAACTGATCTGGCACAGGATAGGGAGTAGTGAAGGACTCTTGCGAACACGGTAATGAACCTTCGGGTTCCATAAAATGCTGGCAAGTTCCTGAGTAGCTGCACAACTGGCTGCTTCTCAAGAAAGGCTCAGATCCATGAGTGAGTGACCCTACAAAGTAATACGAAGTTCTTAGAAGAACCAATGGCCTACGATCCTTTGATACGATACGGACAGTACAGAAAACAAAATTGGGAACACAGAGCAAGGTGATCTCAAAGCGTCATTTCATTTTTTTCGAATTTCGGGGAGTAAACTAAGAAGAAAGCCCAACCGGTTAAGGACACAGCCGCAGTTTACTGTGAGGACCAGCTGCACTCCGTGGGCAGAATGCGGAGTTCTCTGGGCTGTTTCTACTTTAAGGGGTTGCTTTGCTGTTACACCGTACACAGCTGAATATTACAATGAGATGAATGATGAATTGAAAGAATTTGAAAGGAAACGGCTGTGCTATCCCGGAATTTGCTCGGAAAGCAAAAGATAAACGTTAAGTTCTCTGTGCTTAATTAATTAAGCAACAGGCCACAAAGGCATGTGCGAAGTGGAAGGTATAACTCCATGTATTCATTTCGGCAATGGACGACGGTGAGTAGTTAGTTTAACGTTCCGGCCACTTTACCCCCGGTTACCATTGGATATGGGGGTGGGTGGGCCCCAGAGCCGGTCTGAACGCTTGCCTCGGCAGTTCAACCTGTAACCCGTATATTTGTCTGGAGGGACTGAGAAAATCCATGAAACCGTCAGCATGGTGGCACCCTGGCTGTGACAAGCGCCTGCATCCTTCCCACTGTGAGTGAAGACACTTACCGTTTGGCTTTCGGACGCTAAAGCAGGTGGTACATATAGTGACATGTGGGCTTTGAGGGACTACAGGTTTAACGGAACAAGGGATTTCCCTTGCAGAAAGCTATCGTTGTTGTTTCCACTGACGTCACTAGCTAACTAACCAAGCAACAAACTAATTCACTGAGCTGAGTCCTTCTTCAGAAAGTAACATTTGCTACGCAACTACAGAAATTCTCAGCTTTTTTTGCGGAACCTGAAGGTGCATTGCCGTGCTCACGAGGGCCCTCCACTGGTCCATATCCTGAGCAAGGTAAATGAAGTTCACGCCCCCAACCTTTCTCTAAGGTAAATTTTAATATTATCATTCCATCTACGTCCAGTTCTTCTTCGTTGTTTCTTTCGTTCCCACCAAAACCTTGCGTACACTCCTCTTCTTTCCCATTGGTTCGTGAACAATGCGTTTCATTGAGGTGGTGTCACAAGCATCGGATTTGGTTAAGGAAGTTCAACGTTTCGGTAGCTGGCTCTGCTTCCGTCATCAGACAAAAGAACGGAATCTACTCCTGTTGGTCCATTTGATGTAGACAATACCTGCCCCTGGCCTGGGATCGAGATCCACATGTAGTGGACCCAACAAAGTGGGATTTATACTTTTATCTGAGCTTCCGAAAACTTGTTCCCTTAAAGGTAAGAAAAGTACAGTTGTACAGGTACTTAACTAATCAAGCACTACGGTATAAAGGCGTATGGGGGAATGGATGTATAGAACCACATTTACTTGACCTCGGCACTAGTTGGAAGGCTCCCCCAGGAAACAGTCCTCGGTACCCATTGGATAGGCGGTTGGGTGGACCTCAGAGCCCGCTTGGATGACGCGGAAAAGAGACAATTCTTGACCCTACCGGGACTCGAACTACGACCCGTCGGTCGTCCGGCCCGTAGCCAGTTGCTATCCCGACTTAACCGAAACAAAACTGAAAATGCCCAATTTATGTGAGGTATCGCAATGTCCCGTTATGGTTACGTAAGTGTACCCCCGTGAGGCGAGCAGAGCGCAGTCTCCGTCGGCTGTTGACGTAGCTACGCGGTGTGTCCCCGCTTGCGCTTTCATTGCGTTAACAGCGGGACACTGGGACACGAGCGGCACTGGCGAGCGCGTGGGACTGCGGCTGGACGCGCAATACAGCACCGGAAGTCATTCGTTCGTTCATCTTCTTATTCTTGTCCTCCTCTTCCTCCCCTTCTTCTTCTCCTCCTCTTTCGTCATCTTCGTCTCCTCTTCCTTGTCCTCCTTCAGCTTCTCCTCCTCCTCCCTCGTCATCTTACTTCTCCTCCTCCTGTCCTCCTCCTTCTCCTCCTTCGTCATCTTCGTCTCCTCTTCCTTGTCCTCCTCTTCCTCCCCTTCTTCTTCTCCTCTTTCGTCATCTTCGTCTCCTCTTCCTTGTCCTCCTTCAGCTTCTCCTCCTCCTCCCTCGTCATCTTAATCTCCTCTTCCTTGTCCTCCTCCTCCTCCTTCGTCATCTTCGTCTCCTCTTCCTTGTCCTCCTTCAGCTTCTCCTCCTCCTCCCTCGTCATCTTAATCTCCTCTTCCTTGTCCTCCTCCTCCTCCTTCGTCATCTTCGTCTCCTCTTCCTTGTCCTCCTTCAGCTTCTCCTCCTCCTCCCTCGTCATCTTAATCTCCTCTTCCTTGTCCTCCTCCTCCTCCTTCGTCATCTTCGTCTCCTCTTCCTTGTCCTCCTTCAGCTTCTCCTCCTCCTCCCTCGTCATCTTAATCTCCTCTTCCTTGTCCTCCTCCTCCTCCTTCGTCATCTTCGTCTCCTCTTCCTTGTCCTCCTTATTTCCTCCTCCTCCCTCGTCATCTTCATCTCCTCTTCCTTGTCCTCCTTATTCCTTCCTCCTCCTCCTCCCCTTACCGTCTCGCTTTCTGATACCTTGCAGTACCTGCACAAACCATCGCCCCCCCCCCCATCACATGGACCTCTTCCCTTTCCTTCAACCTTGAATTCTAGCGCCTCTCCGAGTGTGCGCGTTTTGTCGGTGAAATTTGAAATTGCCGAGGCGCTAACAGAGTCGCTCTCTTCCCCGCAAATATCGTTACGCGCAACTAAGCAGCAGCCCACGGGCCTCCACACTCAGTCAGCTTCAACCTTATCGAGTGAACAGGCCGTGCCAGAGCAAAGACGATCAGTCACCGGGTTCGACCCCAGGTCAAGTCATGTGGGATTTGTGGTGGACAAAGTGGCACTAGGGCTGGTTTTGTTCCAAGTACTTCGGTTTCCCCTGCCAATTTTCATTCTACGTACTGCTCCACACTTATCATCTGTCATCCGGGGCTGGTACAGTAGGCCAGTTAGTGGCCGCCGTACGAAGTGGACTCAGTCTCACCCCACCCCAAGAAACTAAAAAAAGGAAAGTGTACAGAGAAGACTGACGCTGTTGTTTAGGCCCGTCATGGCTGCCTGTGGTGGGCAACTTCTCGGACCTGAAGCGGAAGTGCCGCGAGAAGAAGTACATGCACGAGGCCGTAGCAGCCTTGGCCCGGGAACACGACACCCCCGTTCTGGGGCTCAAACTCGGGGCGGACCTCACCATCGTAGTGTTCGGCCACGAACTGGTGAAGCAGGTGTTTGTTAGGGAGGAGTTCGACGGCCGGCCCGATACCTTCTTCATCCGACTGCGAGCGATGGGAGGGCGCAGAGGTAAGTACACACAATTGGGTTGCCTTGTGGTTTCACAGCTCAACAAAGCCCTTGATGAAGAATTGCCCTCAGCATTGAGCCCTTTAAAGCACAGGCCGCAGGAGGAGAGGTCAGTGTTCTGGGAGGTCACAGTATCGGCCCTCATTCTAAGCAAAAATGTGCATATATACATGTCCTGTTCCGAACGGTTTCCGAGATAGAGCTAATACCGGTATTTATTGTTCAAGTGACGAAGTTGGTACAGTTTACCTACGAAAATTCCACCGTCAACATCAGTGCACTTTGCAGCTCGTGTGAGGACATGGCGTGCTGCTCGTCTGTACAGTGTAACAGCTCTATCTCGGAAACCGTTCGGAATAGGACACATGTACATATACACTTCCTTGCTTAGAAAGGCCGATACTGTGACCTCCAGAATACTGACCTTTCCTCGTGGGACACCTGTGTGGTACGTAGAAAGCGCTGCATTTTCCCCACACACTGTATGTGTATGATCCTCCCTGGGAGGGCCATACGGCAGACAAATTTGAATACAGATGACCCACCGTCAGAGTTTGGGCAAGCGACATGCATAAGACTGTCAGGCCTCTGTCTCAATTGCAGGCATCACCTTTACCGACGGAAAGTTCTGGCACGAGCAGCGGAGTTTCGCGGTTCGCCACTTGCGACAGGTAGGGTTCGGGAAGGAGCTGATGGAAGACATGATAATGGACGAGCTTCAGGAGTTGGTGCGTCTGTTTGGTGAGTCCTCGCAAGCGGGCCGTTCGGTCAGCATGGGGCCCACGTTTGCCCCAAGTGTCCTCAACGTATTGTGGGTGCTCACTACCGGCGCCAGCTTCTCGTCTCGGGACGACCCGCGTCTGCACCGCCTCTTACACGTCCTCAAAGCCAGAGCCAAGGCCTTCGACATGGCGGGGGGCACCCTCAATCAGTTCCCCTGGATGCGGTTCCTGGCGCCCGAACGAACGGGGCACAACCTCATCCTACGGCTGAACTCAGACCTCAAGGACATCTTCATGGTGAGGCACCATCCTGACCTCACGACTGTCGTGGCTTTCGTCACTTCCTCAAGGAATATTTCCGGATGGTATCTCTGTTCAATCACAAACGCTTCCTTTCGAATCCTTTCCAATTCATACATCATCCAACCGTTCGACGGTAAGCAGTCCAGACACTCAGAGCGCCGTGAAATAACGCACGAACACCAGTACCGTTTCCTTTCATATCCCTTCCATTTCATCAAACTACTCATCACTACTGACGCTATGCAGTCCGAGTTACAGAAAGCATTGTTCAGTGAACGTTAAATAAGTAAATATTCAAATTAGCATGCAAACATTTATTTAAATTTGGTTTGGACATGGAGGGGGCACTATGCTACAAGCCGGAAGGTCGCGGGTTCGAGTCCCAAAGAGGTGGATTTTTTCAATTGACCTAATCCTTCTAGCAGCACTATGGCCCTGGGGTCCACTCAGCCTCTAACAGAAATGAGTACCAGGAATCTTCCTGGGGGTAAAGGGCGGCCGGCGCGTAAGGCTGACAACCTCAATGTCTCACAACCCTATGGGCCTCCACGGCCTGTTACAGGAATACCTTTACCTTATGCTTTCAATTGATTAGTTTGTACATCTATGCTGCATACAGCTGCCTGTACTACCATCTTTATGTCAGTTTTAGTATGTCTCATGCAGTTACAGACAAATGCTTCTTTTAATATTTAACTTCATACAATTCAAGATAAACACCGCCTCTTAGCTCATACGAACTCCATCTCCTCTGCAATTCTCTACTTTTATATAATTTCACATGTATTTGCACCTGATGGCTGTCATTTAATGACCGAAACACGTAATGACATAATGACTACATCCTTACAAGCAAAGCTTGTGACACGCGAGGCAGTCCCCACCTGTGGCCACTGCGCTTTATGTTCGCAGGCATCCATCCTGGAGCACCAGAAGGGGTACAGTCCGGACAAAACAAACGACCTGATCGACGCGTTCCTTCACGAAATGGAGACCAGGAAAGCAGTCGAAACATCCTCATTTACAGGTCAGCATACTCGCCGCCGTTCACACCTCATCAGTTCGCAGTCACAACTCTACACTTTCCCCGTAAAGTGTATAAACGTGAAGAGTAATAATATCTTCTGGGATATATCGGCGTATAGTCTGGTGAAACTGAACCGACGTTTCGGAGGAACATATCGCCTCCATTTTCAGGACCGAATAAGCCTGAAGATGGAGGCGATATGTGCCTCCGAAACGTCAGTTGACTTTCAACAGACTACACGGCGTTATATCCCAGAAGATAGAAATCTTCATAACCACCGGTGTCAGAGCCTCAAATCCTACAGACTATTTATGTGCTCTGTAAGATTTTAAAAATAAACAGCGATTATGTCCGTACACAAAGGGGTCGCCAACTTTTTTTGTTGCTACGGGGACAATTACAAGCAAACGAAAACATTTACCGAAACCTCTTCCCCCATTTTCCTACTTTCCCTACTTTGAAACAAGTTCTGCCAAGAACTAATCACCTACTTTCCTTCGAGGCGACACGAACCGCACAGAAAACGACGCGTCAAATAATTCTTTATAGTTGCGTGTGTATTCCTTGCCGCGGTAACATTTTTACCTAGCCGTTGCCTAGCAGCGGTAAAGGGATACATATACAGACAGACTGATGGGAAGGATTTATGAATTACGCCATTGACACGAGATCGGTTGCCATGATATACATGCCAAGTTTCATAAAGAACAGTTCAGACATTCAAAAGCTGATGGGGGGATACACAGACTCGCACAGACAGCATGGAGAAAGCAAAAGACTGATTTCGTTTGTTCCAAATAAAGAAAGTACGTTAACAAACAAAAGTAGGTTTATGAAAGTTCTCCTTTCTGTCTGTGTGTCTGTACGTGTATCCCTCCTACTGTTCCTATGTAACGGCACGGTAAATACGTTCACGCTGCAACGAATAGACATGCAAAAATAGACGAATTGTTGGACACGTCGTTTTCTATGCGGTCCGTGTCATATCAAAGTAAAGTAGGTGATTACGTCTTCCCACAACTTCTTGTTTTAACATATTCTGTTCCACCCATATTGAGGTATTATTAACAAGGTCGCCGGTTGGACTCCCGATGAGTTCATTGAATTTTTTCAATTGATCTAATCCTTCCAGCCGCACTATGCCCCTGGGGTCGACTCAGCCTCTAACAGAAATGTGTATTATGACTCTTCCTGGGGGTAAAGGGCGGCCAGCGCGTAAGGCTGACGTCACCGCCATCTTATGAGCCGATTGTCTAGAAAATGTGGCATCCTCGGCGTCTCACAACCCTGTGGGCCTCCACGGCTTGTTACACGGATAGCTTTAATATTTTTTACAGCTAATATGATGAAAACTCACAAGTAAGTCTTACAGAACTTCCCACCCGATAATACCAAGGGTTTAAGTGGCGGTTTGCAACAGCGAGAGGCCACACTGCGACTGGTGACGCCAGGGCGAGTGACAAAGGACCGGTTGTGGAAACTACCGTTGAGGGGGTGAGGGTGAGCTATTCCATAGACCAGACTTTACAAGATCCCGGAAGCGTAATAAGGACAGGAGTAAACAAACTTCAGTAAAGCAAACGAAAGGAAAATATTACATGGGAACATTAATCTTCAGAGTTACTGTTCACAAGTGCCTCGGTGCCAGCGGCCGCGCGGTTGGCCGTCACTGCCAGACAGCATTCACCGGCCGGTCGGCCTGAAATTGGAGGGGACGGTTTGTTTCATGATCTAGGAACTGGACTTCTGAGCCATAACGTTAGGGTTTGTGCATTTAATCGCCTGACTGCTGGCTATAAGTCACCCTGCGACCGGCCAACTCGACACAGTTTTCCCGTGGTTTTCCTCGACCCTGCCACAGTGTATCACCTAATCGTGATCTGTATATGCTTATGTCACAGTAGATCACCTGATAATGGATCTGTATATGCTTCTGTTACAGTAGATCAGCTGATCATGATCTGTATATGCTTCTGTCACAGTAGATCACCTGATCATGGATCTGTATATGCTTCTGTTACAGTGGATCACCTGATCATGCTCTGTATATGCTTCTGTTAAGAGTAGATCACCTGATCATGCTTTGTATATGCTTATATTAGAGTGAATCAGCTGATCATGATCTGTATATGCTTCTGTCACAGTAGATCACCTGATCATGGATCTGTATATGCTTCTGTTACAGTGGATCACCTGATCATGCTCTGTATATGCTTCTGTTAAGAGTAGATCACCTGATCATGCTTTGTATATGCTTATATTAGAGTGAATCAGCTGATCATGATCTGTATATGTTTCTGTTACAGTGGATCACCTGATCATGCTCTGTATATGCTTCTGTCACAGTGGATCACCTGATCATGCTCTGTATATGCTTATATTAGAGTGAATCAGCTGATCATGATCTGTGTATGCTTCTGTTACAGTGGATCACCTGACCATGATCTGTATATGCTTCTGTTACAGTGGATCAGCTGATCATGCTCTGTATATGCTTCTGTTACAGTGGATCAGCTGATCATGATCTGCATGGATTTTTTCATTGCGGGGGCCCAAACCACGAGCACGACGCTGGATTTTGTCTTCATCATGATGCTGCTGTACCCTGACGTCCAGCGTCGCGTGCAGGCCGAGCTGGACGCCGTCGTTGGGAGGGGAAGACCGCCGCAGCTCGCCGATAGGAATAAGTACGCTTCTTGGTCCCGTGTCCCAGGTGACGTGCTACTGTACGCAGGGGGGGGGGCATCCAAAGAATGATCAGAAATGCTGTTCATGTCTCACAGACATACTCACTCCGAGGTGTGGGACAGCCCTGAACAGGCAGCACAGTATCACATCCTCGGGCTTCACCTCTGGACTGGTTGCAGTGTGGGGTAGTCTTCTTGTAAATCACGTCATAACATTGATAAAAGCGCCGTTATAAAGAATATACCTCACTGGAACTTCTCATTGAGGTGACAGGCTTTTAATCCTGTGTTTTGGCATGTAATGCCATTTAGTCTGGTAGACGTTACTGATGTTTCGGGAAAAATTAATGCCTCCATCATCAGGATCGAAGAGTAAGTCAAGCAACAAGGACAGTGAAACATGTTACCAGCTTTCTTCTTGCTGCTTCCTTAGCTTACACCTACTATCCTGAAGATGGAGGAGGTAAGTTCCTCCGAAACAGTTTAACGGCGCCAATCTGACAAGATGGAATTTTGAGCAGAATTATGATCGGTTACGATATCCTTAGCATCTCAGAACACATGGCTACTTGTCACGCAGGTTGCCGTACGTCGAGGCCGTCCTGACGGAGGTGCAGAGGATGTACCAAGTGACGCCCGTCGCAGGACCAAGACGCGTAACAAAGGACACTACGCTTCACGGATATAACATTCCTAAGGCAAGGATGCACGCACTACACACCTTCATCGTCTGTACTTTCAGGATTACCCTAGTTGTTATAAATAGACTGAAAAATGCATAATGAGGAGCTTCATAACTTGTACTCTTCTCCAAGTATAATTAGAATGATCAAGTCAAGGAGGATGAGGTGGCCAGGTCATGTAGCACGAATGGGGAGAAGAGAAATACATAGAGAATTTTGGTGAAGTCAGAAGGCAGAACAAGATGTAGGTGAATAATATTAAAATGTATCTTAGAAGGATATGATGGGATGATATGGATTGATCTGGCTCACGATAGGGACCAAGGTTCTTGTGAACACGGTAATGAACCTCCCAATTCAGCGATAGGCACATAATTACTTGATTAACTTCTCAACAGGGACCCTGCTATTCTCTGTCTAAATCATCTTCGATACTGCGTCATCATCAGATAGTGACGTAGATTGTTACGTCATCATTAGAACGTTACTATATTCTGTTTTAAATGTCGTTCAACACACTGGATAAAGTAAAAAAACCCATGCTTCTGAGTGTTACACATCATCGTCAAAGCCCTTTAGTTTAGACTGTGCTTCACCGTAACGCGATGTGCCCTGAGTGTGCCGAGTCCCTGACTGACACCTGTTCCCCTCACAGGACACAACGGTGCTCATGAGTCTGTGGTCAGTCCACTACGACAGGCAGCACTGGAAGGATCCCGAGCAGTTTCGGCCGGAGCGACATCTGAACGACAAAGGAGAACTTGTGGTTGACGAATGGCTTCTGCCTTTCGGCCTGGGTAAGTGGACCAGACCTCCTAACCCTCTCTGAACAACGAACCGCTGTGAGACCGCGAGACATTATGGTGAAACAATGCGCCAACAGATCGCTCCACTCGCTGGTTGCAGATGGTATTTGGACCTGCCGACAATAGTCTCTCTGTCGTCAACTGTTTATTTAAAAGAGCTTGTAACCAGAAATTTGTACTTTTCAGCACTGGATATTGGCTGCATTGCCAATACAAGGAGCCCTAATTTTATTCTAATTAAATTATTTACAGGAGAGCTCAGTCGGTATAGCGACGGGCTATGAGCTGGACGGCCGGGGTTCGATCCGCGGCAGAGATAAATATTTCTCTCTTCTCTACAGTGTCCCCACCGCCTCTGGAGCCCTCCCAACCTCCTCTCCAAAGAGGACATAGGGTTCTTTGCCCAGTAGTAAAGCGGCCGAGGTCAAGAATGGTGGAGCTATACCGCCACTCCCCCATACGTCTTCATGTCGTTGTGTTTAATTAATCACAGGGACTTTACCTTTAACAGAGTTTATTTAACAATGGTTCAAGCAACTCAAGATGATAGGATGAACAGTGTCTCAATGTGAGCGTCTACCCGCAGGAAGTGATGCAAATCACGTAAAACGTCTCTGAGGGCACTTTCCTGCAGGATGAACACTAACCACTGCGGTGTTGCTGTTTATGTCCACAGGCAGGAGGCGATGTCTTGGCGAAGCGCTCGCCAGAAGCTGTTTGTTCATATTCTTCGCCGGAGTGCTGCAAAACTTCGATGTACTTCCTGTTCCGAGCAAGGAGCTGCCCGGGGAAGCCCCGGTACCCGGACTCACACTCTCCCCTCAGCCCTACTCGGTGATGCTGAAACCTCGCCTCACTCACATGACTTAATCTCGCGTTCAGTACTGAAACCACATTTCACTTCGGCAGCAAACTCTAAAACAGGCCTACCAATGTAAAACCCGTTGAAAATTCAACGGGAGAACCTCCTCGTTCGCCATATAAGCTTCCTCTGCATTCTCCCGTATTCCTTTCCGGTCCTATACGTGTTACCGAACGATGCGTCGGAGCCGACCTTCATCGCCATCTCTCACGAATAACACGCACAAATAGTTAATTGTAAACCGTTTCCTTTACCTCGTACACTACACTACACACATCTACATCAAAATAGTATCAATACTCACAGGATCCATACGATATACGGAAACAAAAGACAGTTCTCTCGTTTGTGACCTACTACAAAATTTTAAGCTCATGCACGGTGTTAATGCTCGGAAGTTCGTTGCTATGGTACCCCAGAATTTTGTAAAGACAGTGATATGCCGCGCGCTTATAACACTTCTTATATACACTGCAGAGAAGGGTACAGGTGTCTATTGAAGCTATGGCATGCCCAGAAAGGTGTTATAGACAAAGTCTGCTGTTATGAAATACACACTTGAATTTTTGAAGTGGATCAAATTGCTCTAGAAATCCCATCAAATTTATCTGTGCGCAATGGACATCTCGGAATTATACGCTTCTGAAACATGAAGCTCAAAGGTACCAAAACGTCGGTGAAAGGCGTGACGTCCTACAAAACGGCAATCTTCACACGTTTACCGCCACCAAAGCCTCAAACCTCACAAACATTAATGGAAGTTATGTCCATGTAAAATTGCCTGTGGTTCTGTATGGGTGTGAAACTTGGTCTCTGACATTAAGGTAGGAACATAGACTGAGGGTGTTTGAGAACAGGGTGTTGAGGAGAATATTTGGACCGAAGAGGGATGAAATGACAGGAGGTTGGAGAAAACTGCATAATGAGGAGCTTCATAATTTGTACTCTTCTCCAAGTATAATTAGAATGACAAGTCAAGGAGGATGAGGTGGGCAGGTCACGTAGCACGAATGGGGGAGACGAGGAATGCCTATAGGATATTGGTGGGAAAGCCAGAAAGAAGGAGACCACAGGGAAGACCAAGGCGTAGGTGGATGGACAATATTAGAATGGATCTTAGAGATAGGATGGGATGGTATGGATTGGATAGATCTGGCTCAGGATAGGGACCAGTGGAGGGCTCTTGTGAACACGGTGATGAACCTTCGGGTTCCATAAAATGCTGGGAAATTCTTGAG